TCAGAATTCCCCAGCCAGCATGGCTGGCTGGGGAATTCTGGGAGTTGAAGTCCACTCATCTTAAAGTGGCCAAGTTTGGACAACACTGGCCTAAGGCATCTAAATCTAGGATTGTACTGTACTGTAAATTTAGGAATGTATGAGTGAACTGGCTAAACAATGAGAACATATAAATATATTACATATTAAATGGCACCAGATTTCTGCTTTCCTTCCATGTTATCAACAAGAGCTGCAACATTTTTGTTACAGCTGAGGGGGCTCAAAAATCTTGAAAAGCCATAGCATGCTCTGAATAAAACCATAGATTTTCTTCCACATTTTTGTGACTGCACCCATTCAGTCAGATAGAAAATAATTTGTTTTTGATGGTTGTGGTTGTTCAAAAGAGAAGAAAATAAAAGGAATGCTTCATGGATGAGATGGAGGGGTAATCTTAATGCCCTGCCTTTAGTTGCCTATTCATTTTGCAGATAAAATTTCTTAGCTTTCAATGTTTCAATTAAATTCCAAGGAAAAGCATCATATTATTCACTCTTTCCATGTGCCTTTTTCACGTTGAGAAGCATAGATGGCCAGTGTAATAGGAAGTATGTGCACATGTGCAGGAGCACTCCCCCCCCCGCCCCATGAAAGCCTTATAATCATAAGATAAGCTCAGTACAGCCACTGCCAGTGTTCTTCTCTCCCCCTGAGTCTGTAACAAGAACAAGATGACATTTCATCTGCTTGCAAGGAGAATCATATGAACAGCACATACTGTAGACATAAGTTGCATAAGAGAGGAAATCAATTAATTTTATAAGCCTCCCTCATTCTGGCTTGCCCCCTTCCTAAATGTTGGGATGAACAAGCAGATCAATGTGCAGTAGCTTCTCTAATAAGTTACACTTGTGCCTCATGGGAAGAAGAAGAGTCAGGCAGTGAAGAGTCATTTGTAGATGGAACTCTTGGCATGGACTGAAAAAGTTACAATGGTATGTTTAGACTGCAAGCAATGGGCCAGATCGTTCATCCTCAGGATAAATGTAACTGGCCTGAGATGCTTGACTGGGCCATGGCAAGAAGGAGCAGGTGAGGCTAGGCAATCCTGGGGAGAGTTGTAGGATCCTAGGTCAAGGGCCTGAATGGGAGACCCAGGACTGTGCTGAGCTACAGTAACCTGCTTGCCTTAGAAGAGGAGCCAAGCTCATCTCAGAGGGTCCCACATGGGGAGAGCAATGACATCGTTTTAGAATATAGTTCACTTTTTACTAAACCCTCCAAACCAATAAGTTCAAGCCAGGTAACTCTTGTAGGCAAATCAATTCATTACAGACTTTGAGGTATAATAGAAAGTCATAAAGCAGAATGAGCCCAAAAGAAGGCATGGAGTAGGAACAAGCAGCTGATAGACAACCCTCCTCTGAACTGTTTCCTGAGAAGAAGAGACCTTAAGTTGTCAGCAAAACTAGGTCTCTTCTTCTCAGGAGACAGTTCAATTCCCCATGTGGAGTTGGACAGGAGACAGCCTCAACTCCCCATGTGGGACTTGAGGCTGTGGAGCTTTCAAGCAGAGACCAGAGGAACCAGCCTGGCAAAGGAGCATGGACAAAATAGAAGCAGACTATGGTTGAATTTTCTGCTCATTCTTTGGCTGTAGTATGAATGGGCTAGAATCAAAAGTGAACCATCGGTCCTGCTGAAGAAGGCACATGGGTACATTTTAGAGCCAAAGGTTATCTAGGCAATAGGATCAAATGAGACAATAGCTTCAAATAAATCTGTGTTGGTCTATGCAGTAGACTCCCTTTCAGGCTTAAGGGGATAGGGAGAAACATGTACTTGTCCATTATA